TTGCTTGTCGGGTGAGTATTTAGTTTGCTATAAAAATAAATCTTCCGAGGTCTTCAATGTGGCCCTAGCCTAGGCGAGCAGCTTGGTGGATTTCCATCATTGGACCCCTATCAAATGGATGCAACCGGATCCCGGAGGTTTCCATGATTGATTGTTCAATTTAGATTGGGTTTTAGTGGCGAAATTGTGCGATTCATCATCTATGCTGTCGGGCGAGAGGAATTTCGCTATTAACGTCAGCTGGGGGGAACATTGTACATTATCCGCCCGCTCATCCGATACTCGCTAAGACGGACCCCGTTAATCTGTAAAATTTTCAGATTTAAAAGTATAAACACGCGGTACGAATACATTGTGCTGTCAATTTTCAGATTTGTGCTGTAAGTCTGTTTGTTTTGATTTTTTAGTATGGATTTGACGGACGGATTAGCGAGTCAAACCCCGATAGTCTGGCCACCGACAAACCGACATGAAATTTAAACTTAACTCTTGATCGAGAATTCATAACGATCCCATCTGTCAACACCATAGAAATGTTTTATATAGATGAAAATAATTTCTGGATCAACAATAGAAAGGGCCCATCAGCATTTGTAAACAAACCGTTCCAAAGCCCTTTCCTCACAAAGCGAAGGCCATCCATGCAAACCCAGACCATCATCGAATAGGGGAAACTTCCCCCTACACGATGATGGTATTGGTTTGTGAGGGCGGCCTTCGTTTTGTGAGGAAAAGGCTTTGGAACGGTTTGTTTACAAATGTTGATGAGCCCTTTTCTATTGTTGATCTAGATAAATATTTTCCGCGGCAGATATCAGTTTTGCGCTTTTATCAGAAATTTCTTTGTAACTTGATCATTCATGTAGGTTTGTCGGTGGTCTGGCCATGATTATGGTTATGGGAGGATACTGTAAATTGATGTTCCCTGAAAGTCAAGGCTTGTCTAAGGTGCTTCCCTTCTGTTATTGGAACTGCCGTAAAGTTTCCGAAATTAAAACCCGCCATCTTGAAAAAAAAAGGCTTGGCGGTGCAGATTTCAAATTTTGCATGGCAAGGTATGGGAGAGAAGCTTTAAAATGATTATAGTTTTCAAATGAAATACTTTAAATTAATTTGAGTATTGCTGTGGGGGAAGAAAAGTTGAAATCTACCACTTTCATAAAATGTTTTGAAAAATTTCGAATATTTAATATACCTAATACTTCTATTGAGTAGCGCTCGAGTTTTCTTCTTCTACCGTACAATCACCGTACCTCACCGTGCAAAATGTTAAAATCTGCTTCATCAAACTTTTTTTCCAAGATGACGACTTTTAGAGGCCTACAGCCGCCACTGGATCAATCGAACCATGCTTCCGCTTTAAATTCTATGATTTAGAAGATTCGCTCACCGTCAGGGTTCACAATGCCTGTCAAATGATGATCTTCTTATTCGAACCATCCATTCGCTCAGTACAGTGCATTAGAATCACCACAACCACCACCGACGGAAGACGGAACCTATCTATCTGGCGTGCTAAATTAATTTGATTTATCTCGCTAATCGTCAACATTAGGAAGGAGCCGAAAAAAAAAACACAAAACTGTCGTTCCCGTTTTTCTCGGAAATTTCGTTACACATTTCACAGCAGACTTCTCCCGGCTCTCGGCCACGAGCAACAACAATGAATCAAAAATAGGTGGCCAACAAGTGGTGGACCACACGGACGCCGGCGCTGATTTCCTTCCCGAATTCGGCATGACAAATTGCCGACAACGCAAGAAGACCACACAAATCACGTCAACTAGACGGCTAGAAATCGTCCAACGTGGTGGAAAATTCCAAATGCCTTTGCGTGTGCGGTAACAAATTTAGGAGAAAATTGGCAAATGTTTTGACACATGCTCTCAGTACCTGTCAAATGCGACAGCCAGCACGTGCACGCATAACTGAACACACGCACGGCATATTCGAATCGAATCAGAATCAAAGCAATCGAAAACACAGATGACGTTGCGGAGGAGAGTCTTCTTTTTCTTCGCAATCACGCAAAGTCCCACTCTCGCCGCTAGTCGATAAACATATTTGACCGACAAGCGAAAAATGAAAACAGCCCATAAATAAAGACAACGCGTTATGTGTTTATGATTTTAGCTTGGACTGCCACACACACCGGATTTTGCCTCGATCTAGTTGTTCTATTTTGGACTGACTCGCTGCTGCCGATGCTATACTGCCTGTAATCGCATATCAGTCCCATGTGGATTTTCGTCAATTTAAAGCACGGGACTGACATCGAATGTTTCCACTATGAGATTTCACAAATTTGACAGTACCCTCAACTGGTCTATAAATTCATGACCCATAACAAACTTGAACAATACATACGAACTTTGCGGCTGTATTGCATATTCTACAGCTGTCGCATACACCGCATGTGTTTGTTTTGCGTTGGTTGTAAGTGTGTGGCGTGTGGGTGAAAAAAAGCAGACAACAGAAAAATGCTGGCTTAGCAGCCCCTAGATTTAAAGATAACAACACTATACACTATCAATAGGCATCTACTTTCATATTATGTGATAAAACAACGGACTTTGATAATGAAAAAATGTGAAAACAACATCAAGCCGGTTTGTCCCATCAAGCAAAGTAATCGCATATAGACTGTTCCAGAAAGTATAAGCACACCTTATTTTAACGGTCGGTCACTTTGAATATAATGAAATATTTCAACATGTTTTGGCTGCGTCCTTTTGTTTGCTCATTTCTGAATGACATAGCATCAAAAAAGTGCTCAGTGTTGTGTTTCCTTTCAAAATGCGTGGTCTTACTCCGGAACAACGAAAAAGTATCGTGCACAAATGGTGCACTGTGAGCGGACTCTCCTTGAGAAAATTGGCCATGGAAGAGGGTGTAAGCGTCGGAGTAAGACGTTTGAAGATTGGGTGTATAATAATGGACGACGAAACGTACGTGAAACTAGATTACAAAACGCTTCCCGGACCACAATTCTATACTGTAAGCGAAGGCAAGGACATCCCCGAAACGGAGAAGGCAATTTTTGCCGAAAAATTTGGTAAGAAGGTTATGGTTTGGCAGGCAATATGCGAGTGTGGTAAAACATCTAGTCCGTACATCACAACGGAGACGATGAACACTCAGAAATACGTTAAGGAATGTCTCCAGAAGCGATTGTTGCCGATGATCAGGCAGCACGGAGGTCAAGTAGTATTTTGGCCTGATTTGGCGTCATGTCATTACGCAAAGGACACGTTAGAATGGTACAAAAGTCAAAATGTATGTTTCGTGCCGAAAGACATGAATCCGCCGAACTGCCCGGAGGCACGGCCAATTGAGACTTTTAGGGCTCTAACCAAAGCAAAGCTTCGAAAATTAATAAAACCAGCGGACGACATCCAAAAATTCAAAAAAGATTGGCCAAAAGTGGCCAAAATGGTGGGAAGTACCACTGTGCAGAAGCTAATGGGTCATGTTCGAGGAAAAGTTAGGAGTCTTGGCTATGATTAAATATGTTGATTAAACGAGAGTAAAATATCATTTGAAATACAAATACAAATATGATTTGCCAAATAAAATTATTAAAACTTTAAAAAAACATGACTTTGAAAGTGTGCTTATACTTTCTGGAACAGTCTATATAAGTTATATCCTGAAATTCAATCGTCACTTGACAAATCATTTACATTGATTCCGTGAATTCATTTGCATTCATTTGCCTATAACTTTTTTCATCAACAGAAACCCGTATATTGATGTATCAAGCTTTTGTAGGTTTTGATATTAACTACAACTTTTTTCAATAACCTTGTCAATAGCTCAAATCCGTACCTCTTATGCATGATGAACCAGAACAAACAGCACCCACCCGAGGGGGGCGACTCTATCTAAGATGCAGAAAATTTTTTGCTTTGCTGTTATGAGATGCACTCGCATTTAATAGACAGAAACACAATGGATTATGATTTTGAAGATTTCCTGCAAAAAGGTGAAGAACGATGCGAGTAGATGGGTTTAGATGCAAGAGATGAAAAAAGATTTTTCGTAGATTGATTCGCTAATGTGAGATTTTTCGACCATTTAAAATCGAGATTTAGATGTATAATTACATTCACTGAAAAGTAATAACAAGTTTTGCCCGCTCTAGTTCGTTTATGGTATGTTCCAGCTACATTTTGTTACAGTTGATCAACTATACTGAACTGTTACAAAATATTACGAATAGAAGTTGTTAACTTGTTCAACGCTTACGTGTTTTAATTAAGGTTATGTTTTTACAATTGGTACAAACAGAAGAAAACGCTTTTGTTTGAAACGGAGTTCCGTGCCATGATGTCGATGTCATCGGCGAAGCCAAGAAGCTGGATGGACTTCCTGAAGATCGTGCCACTTGTGTTTATCCCAGCTCTTCTGATCACACCTTCTAACGCGATCCTGAATAGCAGACACGAAAGTCCATCACCTTGCCGTAACCCCCTTCGAGATTCAAAGGGACTCGAGAGTGTCCCCGATACTCGAACAACGCACATCACTCGATCCATCGTCGCCTTGACCAATCGTGGCAGTTTATCCGGAAATCCGTACTCGTGCAGAATCTGCCATAGCTGATCTCGATCGATTGTGTCGCATGCGGATTTGAAATCGATGAACAGATGACGTGTGGCTACGTTGTATTCGCGGCATTTCTGCAGAACCTGCCGAATCGCGAAAATCTGGTCCGTGGTAGCGCGGGCACCCATGAATCCCGCCTGGTATTGCCCCATGAACTCTCTTGCAAATGGCGACAGGCGGTGGCATAGAATTTGGGAGAGTATCTTGTAGGTGGCGCTCAGCAGTGATGATCGCGCGGTAGTTGCAGCAATCCAACTTATCGCCCTTTTTGTAGATTGGGCATACGACACCTTCCATCCACTCCTCCGGTAATATCTCCTCCTCCCAAATCTTCGCCCAAACCCAATGCAGCACTCTAGCCAGTGCTTTACCACCGTATTTTAATAGCTTACTTGGTAGTTGATCTATACCAGTTGCTTTGTTGTTCTTCAGCCGACCGATCTCCTCCTCAACTTCTTGCAGAGCAGGGTCTGTTGCCGTGCCACCTTCGTTTTCTGCTGCTCCACCGTTGAGGTACTCGTCATAGTACTGCTTCCACCTCTCAATCACCTCACACATGTTCGTGAGAAGGTTACCGTCCAAGTCCTTGCACATTTTAGCCTTGCGGCACGTAGCCTTTGCGCGAACTATTTAGCTTCTCATAGAACTTCCGTGTGTCGTTTACGCGGTACAGATTTTCGCTTCGAAAAACCGAGTTTTGTCTGTTCCGCGCTTGTCTGTATCGCTCCACATTCAATCTCGTGCGATGTTGCAGCATTCTCGCCCGCGCTGCATTCTTCTCCTCTAATGACAGTTTGCATTCGCCGTCAAACCAGTCATTTCTTCGGTCCGGGATCGCAGTACCTAGTGCCGCTGCAGCAGTTTTACCTATGGCGGAACGGATGTCTCTCCAGCCATCTTCAAGAGAAGCTGCGTTTGCAACTCTCCCGTGGGTAGTGCAACTTCCAGCTGCTGCGCGTAGTCCTGGGCAACTCCGGCGTCCCGTAATTGCTCAATGTTAGGTCGTGGCGTTCGACTTCGACGTGTGTTATGCACCGTTGACCACAACAAGCGAATTTGTGAATTAGTCCTACCACGGATTCCTCAGAAGACAGTCAGCTCACCTCACATCTTATAGCCTGTCTGAAGCAGCACATTATTCCGCGTAAGACTCTGCGTTCACCTTGGCGTTCACACATTCGGAAAACTGCGTATACCAAAATTAGGGAACTCACTACTGTGCTGAGAATTGCCAACATGGATAACAACACCCCACTCAATCGATCGCACATTCCAAAAATCACCGATTATGATATGAAGAAAATGTTCCTTCAAGAAATCTAATCGCTCTAAATTTTGGTGAAACTATCATTCCTTCCGGATGCATGATACCCTCCAGCTCCATAATCACAATCGTTACCAAGAGCTTAAACCCAATCATATTTCCTATCGTTCGGACTCTATCTATCTAGAGGGCAGCTGACTGTGGACTTATGTCCAGAAGGTCAATTCTTAAGCTAAAAAAATTTAGTAGCCATAGATATCATCAAGCTGGAGCTGCACGTTGTGATACTGCGCTGTTATTTATCACCTGATTGCTTCTATGACGGCAGCTGCTGCTGCAGGTACACCGGCAATTCCATCATCCAGCATAGAAAGTTGCACCAACGTTTCGCAAATCTTGGCAAATTCCGAGGCAAATTCATCGCGCAGCCTGTCGCGCAACTTAAGTTCCGTTTCTCGGAACGCGTACTTGTCGAGCTCCCGGTATTATCTTCTCGGAAAAGAAAAACTAAACATTTAAGCTGTAAGAATACCGGGTTCCAAGCATGTAGTTTTTCACAAACAAAGTCAGTCCGATGACTGGCACAGCGCGGCACACTTGAGGCACATTGAGAAAAAAAAAGTTGGTGTATATAATAAGGGTGTAGAGTGACCACCCCGTGTATTTTGGTTTTAATGATAAGTTTTATAGTTTGTTTATAATAGAATATCATTGGTATGCTGACCAAAATAGTAATTTAAATAAAATAATTGTATTGGTTTGTTATAAACCAGTGTTACGATTTATTTTAATAACTAACCAAATTTTCCACTTACAACTTTTTAGTTCAGTGATTGTTTAGTTTTGCACTAAGAACCTCGCAAATAACGCCGTTCGTGACCGACGAGGTTCAAGTAGATTCCGGTGGAGATTTACGATGATGCCAACGAAAGTTCTTGTAATTTTTCCCGACGTTCTCGACGAAGCAGGTTCCGGATGCTTCCAACGCAAGTTCTAGTGGATTTTTCTGACGTTCTAGACAAAGGAAGTTCCAGTCAATTCCTGTGGGGATTTCGGATGCTTCCAACTAAGGGTCCAGCGGAGTTTTTCTGACATTCTCGATGGAGGCGGTTCCACAGTTGATTTTGCTGTAGTAAGTCTTATTTTTTTTTCCTTGGTTTGTTTTTCGTCGATCTTGTTTTCCGTGCTGAGCACCAATGCTACCGACGCGCCAGGAAGCCAGCTCCCACACCTGGACCCTACCTATCGACCCATCAACTCATGAACTGGGGACCAACGGCTTTACTTCCTTCCGAAGGAAGGCGTGATCAGAGATGTTATGCCTCAGAACATCCCGGTGGCGCCGACTGGGATTGAACCCAGGCCTGCTGGGGTGAGAGGTAATCACGCTTACCACTACACCACCGGTGCCGCTTAAGTCTTAAATTTGATATACAATCAAACTTTTATTCTGTCTGTACCACTAGTCATAACCAGACATGTTTGAATTACTATCTAGAAACCTTTAGGATGAGCCCAGACAGGCACCAAAGCGACGAGTAAAACAAGAGAAGATTGTGAAAAAGATTCCAAGATATCTCAAATCCAGGCCAGTGACTACGATTTTTCAAATATGTACTCGAAAATTGCCCTTCGTAACTTCGACTACCATTTTATCAACACCTACTTTTCCATATGGGACTGTTATGCGATTATGGGCAGTGTCGATTGGAAGGAGTTAGTCTAACAAGTGTCGCGTCACGTCTTCTACCCTACTGCGGTGGATGATGATAATTCGCACACAAGCTAATGTGACGAACAAAAAAAAAACGATTGCCGAATGAAATTAGCATGTCAGATGTCAAAGCAAGCGCGGAAGAAATTTTATGGCGAATGTTTGTTGTGTTGATCGTCGTGTCGGGAGGATTCACCAACCAAGGGTAACCGTTTGCCGTCGTCAGTTTGAGTTATGGCCGGCAGATATTGGCTATTAGAGGATCGAGATTTGTTTTCGGTGTTGGGGAAATGGACGTGGATTAATTTTTATGAAAACGTTTATGTTCCTGGTATGGTTGTTGAGGATTAGAAGAAGTATACGGAAGTAATCAGTGGATTTTATCTGCTGCTAAAGCTGTGGTAAGTTTAGTATATTTGAACATAAACCGATTCGGCTCCGTTAAGTTTGAGCGCTGAGTGCAGTAGTAAGCTTTGCAATTTACAACCATTCCCACACATTGCACGACTTCCATTAGCTTCTGTCAGGGGGATAAGCCAGGATGATTGACAAGCCTGAGAAAGGAAAATTACTCGGATGACCAGAAATCCACCGCAAAGAAAGCGATGAAGGAGAGATGAAAGAATCCGTATTTATATGGCTCTTTTCCCCAATCACAGTTATGACAGTAAGTAATAGCACCGCAGTTCCTGTGAGTGATTCGAGAGCTTGCAGCGTGTCTCATCTTTCATCTTTAAGCGCAGAGTAATCAGGCTACCGCTAGTTCACGAAAGGATTAAAAAGTTGAGCAGCAATAAATCTTTCACGCTTCAACGGAGAATCAATCCGCTTACGACTATGACGGAGTGGAGCCTACATCTTGAAGGCAGTCCTAGTATATAGGTAGGTACCTACATATCTCACTGCGTCAAAGGTGAGCTTGGCTGTCTGCGCGCTGCAATGAGCAACAGTTGGCAAATATCGAATCCGAAGCATAGTAGGCTGGCCGTAATGAGAATCCCACACGTTTCCGCTGGCTTGCTGCGATGTCCACGCTTTTATGCGTCGTCATCGTCGTGTGCGATTTTAGCATATTTCGGTCGTATTTCTCGCCTCTGCTCGGGAAATAAGGTGGCAGCAACTTGATTTCTACCACATACCTACGATCGCGGCGGATTAGAATCGGAAACAGGTGGTGTTGAAAAATGAATCCGATCCCGTGGGTGAGCCGAGTCCTAAGTTCGATAATTTATCGGATTAGTGCGAGGTTGGAATTCCACCGATGATGATGCGCTATGAATGCTTCCGGTTAGATGACTTGAAGATTTTTCAATCACCGTCACCGAAAGTTCTAAACAAAACGATATTTATAAACAGTCTAGACTGTTGCTCTTGCCCAATTCAGCGAGCGAACGGTTCCGTTTTCGTGCTTGAAGCAAAATATAATTAATTTTCTTAGCGCAATGCAATGCCGGATCTCTTGAAAAAACAACTCGGCTGAGCCCCAGCGAAAAAGAACTCGTGCCAAGGCAAGAGGGTGCCATGCACTTTGTAGGTGGCGCTTGGCGGCGTGATTGGGCGGATCAAGCTTCTACAAGCTTTACTGTGACGATCATGACAAATATATTTTAAATGTTTATCATTGGAACGGGTATTGTATTTTGTATTTCTAACTGGACTGGACTCAAATGTACGCAATTGCTAATAAAAGTGCACTTTTACGTTGTATCGCCTCGATAATCGAAAAAAATGCACACAATTAAATCACAGACAAAGAGCGTGTGCCGTGTTTGTTATGTTTTGTTTTTGTTGTCATTTCACGGCTGGTAACATACTCACCACTATGTCTTCGTGAATAATTTTAAATTGTAAATTTTGCGCGTTATTGGTAAACGAGATGCTATACCCAATTTGTACTTTGCTCAAAATTGTCCTTTGCTCGCTTTCTACTTTCTATTTACCATTTTCATACTACCGTACTATAACGCAACTATCAACTCTATACTTTCATCTCGTCATCTATCATACAAATTATCCACTTTAAGTTTGACATTTGACGTTAACCATCTCCAACTACGAAAATAATCTATTGCTAAGACTTTTGTTGATTATTCTGCAAAGAATTTCAAGAATGCATTATTAGGTTTGTTAAGCTTCTTTTACAGGCAAGGGAATGATTCTAAACAATGAGATAGTTCTGAAGGAATTCTGTAAACAATTCTTAGATTTAAGGTTGAAAAAATTTACCTTCGTGGTGGTAAATCGAAGAAAAAGCTTTTTATTGAATATTTCTGGTGTAAAAATATCATCAAGGGTGTGGCATGGAGGGACTAATTAACATGAATAACTCTGGTGGAAAAATTCAAACACGCTAAAAATTTGAAGGTGCACATTTAACTGAAAATTTCTTGTGGAAAGTTCGCAACACTGTGGTGAATGTAGAAGCAAGGTTTATTCATTTTCTGGTGCATAATTTGCATCGTTCTGATGAATGCAAGCTTCATTGAAAATTTATGGTCAAACGTCAGTGACAATTTTGCTTTATTGAAAATTTCTGGTGCAAACTTGGTGGTTTGGTAAATGAAGGCACAAGCTTTATTT